AAGGGGGGGGGGTTGAAAGGGGGTTTAAGGGGGGGTTTGAATCCGAACGAGCCATTAATGAGCTACGAGAGATTTAGGTGCGCCCAATAGTGGTAGTACACCACACCCCGAATGCGATCGAACACGCGGCAATGCCCAGCCACTGCACTGAGAGGCTTTAAATCCGATTCAAATAATTCCTCTTTTTTTTTCGCCCAATCCTCAGGATTTTTTACTCGCCAAAGTGGATTCCACTTGAACCGATAGAATAAAGGGTGTACCATTTAATGGCGGCATGAATCAGATAATTCAGCCAATAATCATTTCAATTTAATAAATCCCTGGGAAAATGATTTCCAACATCGATCTATGCACCTTCTATTTTTTTTTTATTGAACCGATCGGGGTAATGATAGATGATTAATCAGTTGTCAGTGTTTTCCAGTTTATTTCCCCCCTATTTTCCACCCTTAATTTCACGGTACGTGGGTCAAGTCTTGATATTATTCCATCGGCAGTGTCTCACAGTTAGAAATGAAAAGAAAAAAAAAAGAAAAGGGTCGGGTTAGCATAAGCCATGACTTACAACTCCTGGGGGTGTCGTCCGTCAAAAGCCCACAGCCCAAACTCCGGAACCTTTCCTTATATATCTCATGATATTTTGTCGCCTCTAGATATATTTATTGCCACTTTTGTAACCCTCGACACTCGGTGAGAATGAGAAATAAAAGGAAATACTTGTGTCGGGTTATTATCGCTAAGAGCCGTTTCTCAACGACAACGTGTGCGCGATGCTGCGTGTGCCACAGCAGAAATATAAATTCGAAGAAACAAATATATTAAATGATGTAAAAAAAAAATATATATAACCGTGACTGCATCTGGTTGTACGTCTCTGACACATTGCGACGAGTTAATTCCGGTACATTTGAAAGCGTCTCTCGGATAATGGCCAGATACATCACGCAAATTGCCATTGTGGTCGCGACAATGTGCTAAACGTCTCTCACCCTTGACTTTTTAACAGCCCCCTTTTTCGTGTATTGAAATTTCTCGCTTTTTTTCTCCCATCATCACTTGCTTTTACATTTTTTCGCCGTTACTCACGAGATATTATTTTTTCTTCGGACATCGCGACGATAAAATATTTCACCTCTGCGCTTTCTCGAGAAAAAAAAATCATTCAAGCGAATGCCTGTTTCAAATGAAAAGTGACACGTAAAACAGAAGGACTCGAAATAAAAAAAAAAAAACACGGGTGAAAACCCTTTTTCAGGATGCAGAGTATCCACCGGAAGGAAAAACAAAGGCCTGGGAAAAGCCAGGGGTCTGGCAAGAAGGTACGTTTACCATCACGCGCACCAACCCCCGTAACTCTCAATTATTTAGGGAAAATTTGTTGAATCCGCGTGGAAAAAAAAGAAAACGAGAGAGAGAGAGAGAGGTCGGACCTCCTGCCCTGTGGGAAATGACCGGTGGTCCCTGCTCCTTTGGCGGAAGATGGAAAATTGCTTTTTTACTCCACTCCTCGGACATTAATTTTTCGTGTCTTCTTTCACGTTCCGGTGGACAGAGGGTCAGGTAAAATTGTTTTATTTTTATATATTCTCTTTTTTTTTCGCTTTTAAATCTCGTTTGGGTGCTTCCGTAAGGGTTGAAGGATTTTCACTGGGTTGGACATAATCCCCCCAAGAATCGAGAGGTAAAAGGAATTTTATGCTCACTTGACTACGGGAAATGAAAGTAATTTTTTTGATAATTCTAGGCACGAAAAATTTTTCAAAAAAGTGCACTTTTTTTCGCATCATTTGATTGACGTTCGTCGGGGGGTTGGGATTTTAACGATGGGTGGGATAGCTCCGTGATGAGGGTGGGCTAGTTGAAATTTAATAAGCGGAGCTTTTCAATTTTTTTTTCTCGATATCGGTAATTGTCATATAACGCAAGCGTGTCTGAGGAAAAAAAAGGGGCGCGTCGTCAATTTCCGATTGGGTCGCTGAGGACGGGAGGACGAAATAGTCCTCCCCCTCAGATGACGATGAATAGGATCGATCTGTCTGGGGCTGCCAGCCACACCTCGCCCCTTTTTTTCCCTCGCATTTTCCAATCAAGATCAACAGCTTTCACGGAATTGAAAGGGTGACAAGAAATCGATGTATTTTTTTTTTCCTCTTTCAACTGTGGAAAACGAATATTCAGGATAAAATTCATAACCCGAGCGATAGCTTCCTGGCACGCGCGACACTGATTCTTGGTAAATTGTTAGGGGTAGTCAACAGCTTCCCTCAATTAGTTTTGCGAAGTCATAAACTTCATTTTCGCAGAAGTAAATTGCAAATAAATTGAGGAGATTGAAGGGTATGAAAATCTCAATATTGAAATCAATATGGAGTAACGGTGTATTTAATGTTCCGCCGGATATTGAATGCGGAGAATATTTTTTTTTGTCGATTCTGATATAAAAGGGTGAAAGCAAATCGATCACGAAATAGATCGCAATGTGAATGAAAAATTGGAATATTAACCGCTATTTTATATTTGTAAATAATCCAAACATCCTGATTAAGACGTAAGATATGTGATTCCCTCCCATTTCGCAACAACCCTCAGTATAAAATACGCACCTCGTTAAGAATGTTCGCACCTCCCCGTGAATCTCGGTATAATTTTTTATTCCCTCTCGGCTCTTTTATTCTCATTTCATGCCAATACACTGTACTGCCCCACTCTCATAATATTCAAGGTAGTACAACTACGGTATCTCTGGTTATACATAAGAGCGTGTTCTCCACCCACTGGTAAGTTGGTGCGAGGCCCTTTCGGCGACCACGACCTCCTGACCCTAGATCTCACTGAGATATTTTATTCCCCGCATGGATTTTTTTTACGAGCCGATATATCACACATCGAGAGAGTCCCAAACGAACGTTGCCACTCTCGTATCGTTATTTAGTTTTTTATTAATAAAAATAATATGTGAGTCGAGAGGGCAACAAGACCGAGGTATATGTCGTACACGCCCCCTTATTCACCCAACAATCTCCAGTGAATTATTTTTCAACAGTTGTGAATCCAATTGCCATCTGGAATCATCATTCGATCGTCTTAAATAATCAAATCTAATGATATATTCCGTGATACAAATGCCGAACAAACGATCTATTGAAATAATCATTGAAATATATCAATTATCATATCTCAAAATTGAAGATCACTCGTGTAAAAACATTATTCTCCACTTTGTCGATGCCAAAAACCCTTCGTGATGAGCATTACTGCATTAGTTCCTGCGGAATGCACCCGGTTT